TATGTCAGTTATGGTGACAAATTGAGATTGAGGGATGATCATTTGCCATTTTCAGGCAATTGGCAGTGACTCGCAATTGCTTCACAAGCCAGGTAAACAAAAATCGAAGGCAGACATATTTACACCGAGGACAGCTTGTGCCCCCTTGCCTGAGGAATGTTTAAATTCTAAGCAAGTAGGGTCAAATTAGAAAACATCAGCTTCAGAAAATGCCTTATTCTCATCGCTTTCCTCTATTTAGTTGTCGCTTTTGTCAAATTTGATGAGAATTATGAAAGATCCCCATATCGTGACATACATTAACTCAAGAATTAAAGAAACTGATTTAAAAAAACGCCCATCAGAAATTTAAATCTCCATTTTTGTTGCCCGCAAGAAAATATCCGACAGTCTGAGCAGCTCTCTTCGGCTCCACTAAACTTTTTTTTAGTGAAGCAGTTAACTCGAGCCACAGTTAAGACTTGACAAGGTCATTCAATTGGATCACTGTCATCGTCCCGGCATACAATAGCCGGAGGCGAATCGTTTTATTGACAGAAGTATGTCAGACTCCGCGATTGTAGTTGGTGATAAACACCTTTCAGCTAGCACGGATTGAGCTTTTTCCAATTGCCCTATTACCTCACGGATCCAAACAACGGCAAAATAATTTAGCGTGTAGCTGATTGATAGTGGGGTGATGAATTGGACAGTTTTACAATACATGTACCCTTTCAATTGTTTACATAGCTATACTCTGTCGTTCCTGACTTATTATTTTTCCTTGCACCAGCACCCTCCATTAATTCGGGGTAAAACACTTGGGTGTGGAACTGTGGAGCATTCGTAAACTAAACACTGACTTATAACTTTTGAAATGAGTGACCAAAAATGTGTAGTAGTTTCACTGCTGTGTGTCGGTAAAGGTGTGGTCTCTGAATATTTACCAGCTCTTAAAAGAGTGTGCAGTATGCTAATACATTTTTTTTTATTTATCAAAGAGAAAACCATTTTTTTTTCATGTTTCCACATCTCCAGTGATTGTCCGCACTTTTCGTACAGTGACTATTTTATGCTTGTTTGACTAGCAGAGGCACAAAGCCCTTTTTTTAAGAAATCCTCAGTCTCTCTGGTACAATATCTTCTCAATAAATCAGGTTTTCTGACCACCCCGATGTGTTCTGACTGCTGTTCAAATTTTGAACACTGTATGTGCCGAAACTGACAGAGTGGCCCAATCACAACGATTGTAGAACATTCGGCCGCTTTTGGACTGCAAAGCCTGTCCTCGCTGTGTGCCTCCTGTAAAAAATGACAGCGTTAGTAGGGAAGAAATTTGATTACGCTGAGGTTACCAGGTGGATGTGTGACAGATGGTTTTTCAGGGAACAATTCCAGTGCAGAACTTGCGGTCCATCCATCTATTAGCTGTGGAAGGCTGGAGTCTATCTCAGACACTTGGCGGGAAGCGAACAGTCCATCTAAAGTGTAACACAGGGAGACAGACAACTTTGTTACTTTAGAATCAACCTAACTTGCCAGTTTTGGGTGTGTTAGCTCAAATATAAACTATAAAACGAAAAATGTACATGTAAGGCACACAATATATTGATATCCAACCTTTCAAATTATATTTTTTAAACTCTAAATCGAGCCTTTCAATGTTTAGTTTTCACACTAAGCTAGGCTAACAGACGTAGATTGATATCGATTTTCTCATCGCACTGCTTGGACGAAAGCCATTTGGTCTTTCCAAAATGTTGAACAATTACTTTTACAGGGCAGAGTTTCGAGGAGCTTTGAAGACGGTGCACGTATTAGGAGATAAGCGTCGTAAAGTTTTATGGTCAATATGGAGCAGCTGTGGTTTGGTTATGCTAGCTCTCGGTCTAATGTGAGCGCCAGGTGTAGGAATAACAGCTGCTTTTAAGGCACTGTCGCTGAACACACACACACACACACACACACACACACACACATATACAGTGGTCTGCAAAAGTTTGGGCAACCTTGTTAATTTCAATGATTTTCCTTCATAAATCATTGGTTCTTAGGATAAAAAAAATCAGTTAAATATATAAAATAAGAGACAAACACAGTGATATTTGAGAAGTGAAACGAAGTTTATACCATTTACAGGAATTGTGCAATAATTGTTTTAACAAAATTTGGCATGTGCATAAATTTGGGCACTGTTGTCATTTTACTGATTTCAAAATCTTTAGAACCAATTATTGGAACTCAAAATTGGTTTGGGAAGCTCAGTGACCCTTTACCTACATACACAAGGCGAACCCAATTATGAGAGAGTATTTAAGGGGGGGCAATTGTAAGTTTCCCTCCTCTGTGAATCTTCTTTGAAGAGTAGCGACATGGGAGTCTCAAAAGAACTGTCACATGACCTGAAAACAAAGATTGTTCACCATCATGAATTAGGGGAAGGATACCGAAAGCTGTCTAAGAGATATCAGTTGTCTGTTTCCACAGTTAGGAACATAGTCAGGAAATGGAAGACCACAGGCACAGTTCAAGTTAAGGCTCCATGTGGCAGACCAAGGAAAATCACGGATAAACAGAAGCGAAGAATGGTTAGAACAGTCAAAGTCAACCCACAGGCCAGCACCAAAGACATACAACATGATCCTGCTGCAGATGGAATCATTGTGCATGGTACAACTAATGCACGCATTTTACACAAGGAGATGCTGATGCTGGAGAAGCCTTTTCTCCGCCCACATCACAAACAAAGCCGCTTGAGGTATGCTAAAGCACATTTGGACAAGTTGGAATAAGGTGCTGTGGACTGATTAAACTAAAATTGAGTTATTTGGACATAACAAGGGGCGTCATGCATGGAGGAAAAACAACACAGCATTCCTAGAAAAACACCTGCTGCCTACAGTAAAACTTGGTGGTGGTTCCATCCTGCTGTTGGCATGTGTGGCCAGTGCAGGGACTGGGAATTTTGTAAAGTTGAGGGAGGCATGGATTCCACCAAATATCAGCAGATTCTGGAGACCAATGTCCAGGAATCAGTGACAAGGCTGAAGCTG